GGTTAGAGCTTGCTGTTAGGTATGTGCAAAGGGATTAAAAGAATATTAAAAGATCTCACGGAACTGCTACGTGAAGAGTCAGGGAATTATAAAATACGTATATCAAAAGTGGAACAAATAAATTGTCACACAGATAGCATACATACTTAACAAACGGACAAAGAGTGAGAGAAAGAGAGAGCGAGAGAGAGAGAGACAGAGACAGAGACAGAGAGAGAGAGAGAGAGAGAGAGAGAGAGAGAGAGAGAGAGACAGAGAGAGATAGAGAGAGAGAGAGAGAGAATAATAAAAAAAAAAAACAGACAGACAGACACAGAAAGAAAGAGAAAGCGAGATCTAAACAAAGAACAGTGGACGAAATCCGCGGATCATAAGACGTAGGTTAAAAGGTCTACAAGAATAACAAGAAAAGGGTCGGAACACAAGAGCTACACAGCAGGGAACACAACAGAAAAGTAACAGAATACACCGCGCTGAATATATCACAAGACGTGGATTGTGGTGGACACAATCCAGGGGATAAAGATCGATGCTTAGCAGGGGAAGCAGCATAAGTCGAAGGAGGGGCACAGGCCTTATGATACACAGGACAAAAAGGGTTGTAGAGAGGGGGAAAAAAGGTACAACTAAAATGTATTAATCACAACTAACTACAGAGAGATATGGGACACAGGTGGAGGGAGAAACGACGGAGAGGCAAAGCATAGCACACACTACAGAGGCCGCGGGGAGGAAGGACAGCCTGTAGGATCAGCAGGACACGTGACCCAATAGGACACTTAGGACGACACATGTTTAGGAGGATACAGGTGCAGGAAGGACACGGGTATGGATGGACACGCAAGGACGCAAAGTGACAGGTGTTATGTGTAGTTGAGCGTGAGAAGTTAACTCAGCTTTACGGCCCTCTCGCCTTCTATTGATCTCGGGAGTGTAATGATCACGCCCACCGCCCACCACGCCCACAGATGTCACCACGCCCACGCCCACGTTCATTCACCACGCCCATAGATGTCATCACTCCCTCAAAAACGCATGTTTATCATGCCCACAGATGTCATCACTCCCGCACCTATGCCCGTCTACTACGCCCATAGATGCCAGTCCACCACGCCACAGGTGTTGCCACATTCACGCCCGTTCACCACACCCACTTTTAACAATAAACTCGCGCAAGTCTGCCACGCCCAAATTTGTCACCACATTCAACACACGCCCATGTCATTACATCCATATCTACACCCGTCCACCACGCCCACAGATGCCACCACGACCACAACTGTCTTTATACTCACAACTACACAGCTCCTCATACCTATCAACCTCTCCACCTATCTCCCACGCCCGCAACTATCACCATGCCTTCCAGCCGTCCACTAAACCATCCACACTCGTCCACCACGCCTACTGCTGTCTAATTATCACGCCCACGTTCACTACACCCATGGGGGTCACCACATTCACGCCCATACTAGTCTACAGCCTGTTACCATACCCGCCACCGTTCTGCACGCCCACGTTGTTACCACACCCATTTCCGTTCTCCATGACCACATACACACAAACTCTCTCTTTCTCTCTCTCTCTCTCTCTCTCTCTCTCTCTCTCTCTCTCTCTCTCTCTCTCTCTCTCTCTCTCTCTCTCTGTCTGTCTATCTCTCTCGCTCGCTCACACAGCCGTCACCACAGTACGGTTCATCACACGCCCACACCATCACCCACGTCCGTGCCCCCGCCTACCATGAACCCCAGCATCCCACCTCCTGCCAGTCAGCACGCTAACCCTGTCACGTCGTACCTTGCCACCTATGCCAACTCTGCCACCTTGCCACCGAAACCTGCCACTCCGCCCTTGACAACGAATAAGTTGCAATGTTGCATGTCCTGCTCGCTAGCGCTCTGTCACCGTGTGTTTGTGCATCCAGATTTATTGCATGCAGGCAACATTGCATACGGTAACGCGCTGGGAGTGTGCTGCACTTGTAACACGCTTAAAGCACATCACAAGCAACTGCGAAGCGCGTGAAGGAGTGAAGGAACAGTTAGTGTCACGGTGTTCCAACGTTGTTCCATCCCCTTTACCGTGAGCATGAGGCGGGGTGTGTGCTGTCAGTGCATGTTGTTCATAACAAGCTACTCACAGTATGTTCTTCACAACATAGAGCTCGCGAGACAAAGACTATGAAGCAACATATTTCACTTCCAACTTCATGCTCTCCTCGGGTCGCCCCCTTGATGCGTGACGCTCAAATGTAGTTCGCTTATTCCTCAAAGCCAGCTAATTACAACATGCTCACAATAAGAGTATTTTCCTGTCAGTTTCTTACGCTGCAGTCATACGTCTAGAATAGAAATAGTTCCCTTTTGCGTCGGAGCCATTAGGCGCGGCTATAACCCCGACTCCAGCTTTGTCTCGGCCTGACACACGTAAGGCAGTCTCTGCTATTAACATGTCTTCTTATTTATGCCTTCACTGGCTCCCTTTGCATCTCCGCTGTTTC